CCTGCTTGGCCCCCGAATCTCTGTGCTCTTTGTCCCCAAAGAGCTTGGCAGTAAGAGAGGTGACCGTGGACGCGAGGCAGCACAGGGTAATGTCAAGATTCGCAAAGGCACTTCCACAAAGCAGGCATCCCCTCCCTGCAGCCCAAACCCTCTTCTAGCAAGGAAGTTGCTCCTGAGTAACAAAAGGGAAGAACTACCATAATTTCTTACCACCCGCTATGTTCTCAGGTCACGGGTTACCTGGTCAGAAAACCTGCAGTTAGCAGTTACGGAGCCCACAGGAAATTGCCCGCTGATGGGCTTCAGTTAAAGGCAGATTTGGATTAATGGGTCAGAGCAGCACTTTATGTATAAGGTTTTGTATCACCCAATTTGCCTGGCAATTTTGGTGCGTCTCTTTCTCAAACTCCTCATTTATTTTCTTTATATCTTTACAATGAAGCTATAAGTGCACTTGCCTGCCTTCATCAGGCTCCTTTATGTCACAGTTATTTCAGGCACTTTAGTTTAGCAGGGATCCAGTTCCTTCGTGTCAGCACATCCGACGGACAAGAACAAAGAAAATGTTTTCTTGCCAAATTTAATGCCATAAAGAAGTTAAACAGAAGAAAAAAAACGCAGCTGAACCCACTTAACACAGCTGCTTCCATAAGCCCAGCGAAGAACAACTTTCAGAGCACCACGAGGCACTCGGCCATCCAGTGGTCGCAGTGCTCCAGCACGTGGGACCACTCGTTCCTCAAAGACCGTTCTCGGTTCTGGCTCTGCGAGCAAACCACACGGGGACAAAACCCCGCCTAAAACACACTCATGGCAAAGATAGGGAACAGAAGGATTCATTTGATACCCAGCATTTCCCAGGCCATGAGGTGCTGGGTGTGCACAGATCTCTTAATTTCTTGTTCTGAATTATACGGTTTTTAAATTTTCTATTCCCCTTTATTCATCTTTAGAGGGGAAAAAAAGAAAAGTCTGGTAAGTGTTTTATTTGATGTAGAAAAACAGTCATGTCACCTCCTCTGTTCCTTGCAGAAACATCTGCCCTTTAATAAAGAAGAAGCAACAGGAGGAGGGAGGGGGCAGGAAGCCAAGTAAGCAAGGAACACAACACAATGCTAAAATAGTAGAAGAAATAGATACCTTTACTATCCAACCCTTCAGGTACCTGCACAGGATAGGTCAGGTTTATCTCTCTGTAAAGGAATATGGGTAAAATGAGAAAAGAACCCACGATCGGGAAAGCATTTTAATTTAGAAGTTTACTTTCGCTCATGAGCACAGCTGTGAACCAAAATTATGCGGTCTCCATGCCGCACACGGATGACGTGGGTGACAATGTGCAGACAGTAAATATCACAAACTGTGAACTACAAACTGCCAAACCGTACTATCCGCAGGCATTTAGGAAAGGATTTTCGATTTTTCCTGGGTGCACTGTCACGATTAAGAAGTTTCTGACCACCACATAGTTTTACTTAAAGATAGAAAGAATTGCTTTCCTCCCTAACGATTGCTACTTGTCACACCACTGTCACTCTCTGCAAGAGACAGTGAGTTCTCAACCTCTTCTCGCAGCACTTTGTCTGAAAAACACAGCGCAAGCAGCTGGAGGAAGAGGACTTTTCTTATTAATATATTATGGTCTAACTGTTGTCTGTCAATTTTCAGATGCTTCCAGCTCTTGGTGCAAAATCCGTCAGGCGCGAAAGATTCAGAACGAGACGCGCCGCATCCAACTCATATGAAATAACTTTAATTTTCGTTGTTTTTATGCCTGAGGAAGGGAGAGTTCACGGCTCTCTACAGGTTGTGCCTACGGGGTTAACACAAGTGATAGATCGTGAGTCAAAGCGCAGAATTACTGATCCACATGCTGCCTTGGCTTTTCAGGAAGATAAACCTTAAAGAAACTGTTTTAAATTATAAAAAAAACATTAAGACCAAACGTGTTCAACAAAGGTCTTCTAGGCTCAGAGTCGCCTACTTGTCCTGTTTATGTGGTCCTCGAGATATGGGCTTATTCTGCAGCGTGAAAGCGCTGCTCCTGCTTCTCAAGTACGTTTCGTGTACACGTGGCTGTACATCGGTGAGTCCCAGCCCCACACCTATGGGTCCCAGGCCCCATCTACGGGTCTCAGCCCCATATCAATGCGTTACAGCCCCCATCCATGGATCCCAGCCCCACATCAATGGGTTCCAGCCCATATCTATGAGTGCCAGCCCCACACCTATGGGTCCCAGCACCACATCTATAGGTCCCAGCCCCACATCCATGGGTTCCAGCCCATATCTATGGGTCCTAGCCCCCACATCAATGGGTTCCAGCCCACAACTATGGATCCCAGCCCCACACCTATGGATACCAGGCCCCATCTATGGGTCCCAGCCTCCACCTATGGGTCCTAGCCCCACATCTATGTGTCCCAGCTCCACATCTACAGGTGACAGCCATACATCGATGGGTCTCAGCCCCCCATCTATGGGTCTCAGCCCCCATCTATGGGTCTCAGCTCCCATCTGTGGGTCCCGGCCCCACATCCGTGGGTCCCAGCTCCCATCTATGGTAGAAAATGCAGAAAAAATGGGTAAAAAACCCTTAAAAGTCAGTAAAACTTCTTGAAAATAGGTAAAAACACATTAAAAATGTGTAAAAAACCCCTTAAAATAGATAAAAAACCCTTAAAAGGGGGGGGGAATCAAAAATGGGAGAAAACTCTTCAAAAATGGGTAAAACCCCCTCAAATATCAGCAAAAAACCCTTAAAAATAGGTTGAAACCCCTCAAAAATGGGTAAGAAGTCTCAAAAACGGGTCAAAAGACAGCACAAGGAGGGGTGGAGCTTCCCAAAAACCCCCATAGAGACCCCCAAAGAGCTTTTCAGGGGGCGTGGCCACATGCCAGGGGGTGGCGCATGGGCCATGCCAGGGGCGTGGTTACTGCATGGGGGCGTGGCCAAGACCTTTAAAGCCGCGGAGCCCAGCTCTGCAGAGCAGGAAGAAGGCGCCACTGAAAATGCTTTGACACGTTGCTGCCCTTCCCCATCCCGGGGTCAGAAATGAAGCCGCCTTGTTCCCTGAGCTGCGAGGAGCTGCAGCGCTCAGCAAAGGTGTCCCCTGATGGCCCGGCATCAGCAACCTCCCTAAAGCATTTCTAAATTGTCACATGTGGGATTAAAACTTTTTAAAAGCAAAGGCTAAAACCTGAGCAGACGAGAGGCACAGGAGTCTCAGCATGAAATAAGTCTCTTTAACCAAAACACCGGGACACAGGAACATGGTTCTCTATCAGTGATGGTCTACGATTCATCACCTCAGTATAATTTTTAGTTAAACAAGAAGGAAAGAGGTTTCCTCTTTATTTCAAGGAATAAAAGATTATGTTTCTATCAGACACAGAACGGAAACACTGTGAAAAAAATCAGCAGCAAGTCAAGTCAAAAATTATGCATTAATTTTATTAGAATGCTTTGTTTCCTGAGCAAGATTTACAGAACAACATGCAGATGAATTTAATAACTTACTTCGCTGTACATCCTACACTTCTGTGACAGGTGTGCAACAAAAGCAGCAGCTGAGAAAGTTTCCAGCTTTTACCAATTTCACAATGTGACGGCATCTTCAGGAAACAGACACAGCTCCACTTTTAGTGTCGACATTAAGTTTCCACCCAGCCAAAGAGATTAAGTTCATGAGCACATTTAAAGCTCTGTGGAGTTCAACACAAGTTCTGTGTTAGAAGTTTCAGCAGAGTTTATTACATTTTTTCACAGTCTTAGACAGAAAAGTAAAAAATTAGCACAATCTCTTTTCCAACAGATGGATTGATTAAAAATGAAAAAAGAAATACCAACAGCGGGAAGACAGAACCTCAGCACAAGCAGCACGTCAGGAAAACTGTGACAGGTTCTCTCAGCCAACTGAAGGAGCCCTACGTACCTGTGCAGAAAAACTACAGCCACACGAAATGTGCGTACCCGCACATATGTCACAAAAGGCAAATAAAAATGGTGTGCAGCTGGCACTTTAATTCTACATCTTTCTGAAGATCTAAATATTTAATTGTGCATCTCTGCCTTTTAGGAAATGTCAAGTAATTCTGGACATTTAAGCAAGGAGCAGTATTCCTTTTTAAAATCCAAACGATTGACATTTTATGAAAAGTTGTGGTTTTGTTAATTTTCATGCCTTTCTGCATGAAAGAGACACTAAAAAGGTACCTCGAAAACAGACGCCTGCTCACCCAGACGTGTTATAAACAATTTAAGCAATGAAGGAACTGTGGCTTCTCCTATCACCAGTGCAGCTCTTTCACAGTGCACATCGAGTTATGAGGTTGTGCCGAAATATGACATCAATATACTCCTATGTTTGCCCAAAAAGAGAAGAAATACAGTAACATGGTGTGCAGACATGCCACTGATTTCGAGGTAACACATCAACCAGGAAATGAAGGAGAACGTTGTGTTAAAAAAGTTGATGGGAAGACACATTCCACATTTGTGTCACACACATAAAAACACCGCTTTTAGAGACTTGGAAAGTCTTGGAAGGATCCCCATTCTGCAGCCTCCAGCATGACAGAGGACATGCGTGCTGTTTTCTGTGGAAACACTAAAAATGCTGACACAGGAGAACAGGGTAAAACTGACACACACCTGAAGGGAGTCTCTGGGGAAAGAGAATTAAAACGCTTGCCTTTATCGTGCACCAAAAGACACTCAAATTCATAGACTCAGGCCATGATGCAAAGGAACATCAGGCAACATTTATCATTAAAAAAATCACGCAGAAGACATGGGTTCATTAAAATCATGCTTGTCTGGCTGAGCTGATACTCCCTCTAACCAGCCGCCCTCCTGCTTTGGACAGACGGACAGAGGGACAGCGGCGCTTCTGTGCTCCTGGTGCTGCACCACCCACCAGGTCAGTCATTGTCACAGGTGTGGTGGCCACAGCGACAGACGTCTTTTCGTGCCATGCAAGAGCCTGCGGAGGAGAACCTCAGAAGGTCATGAGCATGTCCCGCTCCTGCACGCTGGTGTAGAAGGGCCTGCTGAAGATGAAGGAGTGCAGACCCGGCTTCATCTTCTCCGCCAAAGCCATGACGATGTTGAGGTCGCCCTCTGCGGTCAGGTCAAGATCTATCTTTAAGCTACGAAGAGACTTGAAAGGTTTTTTCCCTTTCTGACTGCAAGAAAATAAAAGAGAGCGTTGTAAAAAAAAAGATCAGGGGAAGTTTCTCCAGGCCTGCCCCACCGTACGTTGTCTGTTCACTTACGTGTCGTCCTCGATGTATTTTATGAGAGTTAAGGCTTTTCTGTGAAGGACGAGCAGAAACTGTGCCAGGAAGGTTCTCCTTAGAGACAAGCCAGGCTTCAGGTGGAAGATCTGTTTAAAAAATACACCAGAAAACTAAGCAGATGTGGAAATCCAAGGATCATTTTAAAAAAAGTAGAATATAAAGAAACATTGGACACACACATAACGCAGCCTCAGTTATAGCACAGCAGGAGCATTAGCAGCAGATTGGCAGATATACTTGGTATTTTTCCTGACGTTACCAGCTGCTCAGATGCAGCTAGCAAAAATTAGGCTGTTGTACAACTCTGTTTGGATAAAATGTTATCTTCTGGTTTAAAATGATCTGAATTTAATCCAAGTCAGGTAGCTTTATCAATACTATAGTTGTGGACACTGTTGCACAGCAGTAGAAATTGTGTGTTGTAAGAAGGAGCTGTATTAATCCTAAAAACAAGATAAACATTTTTCTCTCTAGTTACACACCAAAGAATCCCAGCACTAGTATGAGAAAGAGCTACCGAGCCAACAAACTGCCTCTTCACGTTGCGTTACATGATGCTAGCGCTCAAAGTACTTTAGCTCTTTCTGAAAAAGCAACAATTACCTGATCCAGGAAAGCTTTCACTAATGTGTCTCGATGCAGGATGTCTTGAAAGACATTTCTGTGGAAAAGAGAGAAAACAAACACATGAGGGAATGCCACGAAGGGACACTTCAGGGCCCAACAGCTATGCACAGCAATACCATCACTGTTTGCAATCTGGCAGAAATTAAAAGTGATTTCAAAATTTTAGTGAATTATGATTCTGCTATTTTTGAAGCTCATACAGATTATTAAAGCAAAAGCTTCAGATTAAATGAACTAAACTAGGAAAACCATTGTGCCCTGTCAAATACACTCAGCTCTGTTATACTCCTAAATAAAACAGGCAACAAAATTAACGTAACATGGTCAGAAGCATCACTGAAAATGAGTTTTGGTAATATTTAATATAAAAAAACTATGAACAGAACTGGTAAATTCCTCCAAAATGAACACAACTACCAGAGCTGAAAGCAGCTTCTCAAAAGCAAAAAATCCTCACATACTGTGTAAGGAATTGTGTTTTTATGCTTTACTTTCCTGCCCCAAAACAAGTAACTCTGAAAGATGTGGGAGCACGTACAGGTCAGGTGTGAAGCTCTCGTCAGTGTAGATAATCCGGTCTTGAGACATTTCCTCATCTGAATTAGCTCTCCAGAACGCTGTCAGCTCAGACCTCATGTACCGCCGCTGGTTGTAGATGTGCTCGTGACACGGGGGCATCTGCTTCACCGTGTTGACATCCACGTCGATGTGCGTGGTCGGGTACGGAGCATACATCACCTGGCGGAAGGGCAACACGAAGCTTCCTGTCGCGTCCTGTTGTAGTGAAAAAAATTATTCTTCCAGTCACTTCTTAAAAAAAAAACAACAACAAAGCTATATTGGAATAAAACATTACCAAAACATCACGTCTAAACTTTAAATCTCGTTCGTTTTGATGGGTTTTGTTTGAGAGATGTGTCGGAGAAAGACTGGCACTTCAGGCTGGAATTCTGACACGCAGACAGCTACAAGGAAAGCCACGGTGCCAGAAAGGAGTCGAGGGAAGGTGACACGTTTCTTTGAACACGAATGTGGGTCCATGCGGGCACGTCACACGCACACACGTTTACTTTGAAGAATGCTCTTAAACTGTAGAAGAACAGAACTTCCCTGAATGTACTTACTTTGAGTAAACCTTGAACAAAAAGTCCCGACTCATATTTGAAGGAAGACTCACTTCTGCAGAGCCTGGAACACTTCCGCTCTGATGGTGTGAGGAACAGGCACAACGTTCTCACGATCTGCATTAAAGGAAGTTTTGAAAAACAGGAAAATGTAAGAAGCAAACTGATCTCCAAATGCATTTTCTGACTGGAAAGCATTGGGCACGTCAAATGGCGAATAAAAGAAGTTTTCACGCTTATTAACTGTGGCTAACTGCTTCAGCTAGCAACTGAGAATTTTCTTTTCTCCAGTTCTACTCCTGCTTGTGATTATTTTTACGTACCAGCACTTACTGTTCATTTGATCAGAGGTGCCAATACACACAGAGCAACGCATTCCTCCCCGCCCCAATTTTTAGAAGGCACGGCAAGCTGCTTATTTCAAAACATGGGTTTACTAAAGGTGCCTCAATTTTTTTAGAAAGACTATTACACTTCACTGCAGCAAGGAGCCCTTAAAATGCATAATATATAACATGTATAGTCTACAATTAATACACACTATATTCAGCAGGCTAATTGCTTGTATTTTTTAATCTCACATTGAAGGAATCCACACAGATACATTCCTCAGTTTATCAAAAAGAGCATCGACTTCAGGAAGCAAGATGAGGTTTTCCTCAAAGGAAGGTCTGAGTCTTACAAAATAAACCAGAACTCAATAATTACTACCTGACAATTAAAAACATAATTAGGCAGAAAAGCCTGACACACAAAAACACTCCCTATCAGAAAATGAAATTACCTGAACACACCACTTCTGCACATCACCACTGTAGAGAGGAAATTCATCTGATGAAATACATCTTCTCACAAAAAAGACAACATTTTCTTCATGATTTGTCTCTGAATATCCTAACTGAAAATTAACTTCAGTGGCTTTATTAGAAGGGACGGAATTACACCCTAATTAAACGCAAGTCAAAAGGAAATCTCTCTGAACAAAATGCTGATCCATTGCACTAAGCTAAAAAGAAATGAGCTTTAAGAAATATTTCCATGGACAGAAAACACAAGTGTATTCCTTCCAGTAATTGCTTTTTATTTATCTGAAACTAGCATTTTGGTTTAATAAAAAAAAAGCTGTATACAAAAAAAACTACTGAATAAGGAAAACATCCTAATTTGATCTTTCCTTCCCATGTTGAGCAAGCTTAAAATAAGCATCGAGAAACTCCATTTGCACCAAAATATCAGACTAAAAGCAGTAATGGTGATTGTTTCATATTGGTTTAAATTTAGTATTTCACAGCAAGCTTGACAAGAGAGTTAAAAAAAATAACAGCATGGGAAAAAAGAATTGTTTACCACAAAAATGTAATTATTTTCCTGTTGTGAAATGACAGCTTTCAAGGGAGGTGACCTTTTTTCCTGCCAAACAGAGCACAGTGATGTTGCACTCCTCCCTGCCAGGAGGCACAACTAACGCTGGTGAGTGCTTCCAGAGCTGTGTCCTGGTTTGAGCTAAAACCACTAAAAGGTCGGACTCATTTACTACTTGTTTATACACAGTATAAATTAAATTAAACACCTTCGTCTCCTTACAGTTGCCAGAATACAACTGATAAGGTAATTTTCGGGCAGAATTATCAACTGCTAGACCAACCAGGTGAAGTAAGAAAGTCAGACATCAGTATTTCTTCTCCAAACTCAAGTATGTACACAGATAAACTGTTCGAAGTAACACACTAACACTAATCAACATTTAAGTTTGGTTTATTAGAAAGGGTGTTACCTTGTTAACTTTTTCTGCACTGCTTCCTACAACGACAGAACAGCCGCAGGTCTGCAGGTGTGAGCTAATTGCACTGCAAATAAAAAACCACACAGGTCGATACATTTAATCAAAAAGTCTAGATACTCTAGAACTTCTACAGACCAGTGAAAAAAAAATCTGCACTATGTGTGAATACAGAAAAGTACACGCACGCTCTCTTACTAAAGGATGCGTTTTATGTGGTTAAATTGCTGTAATAAACATCTGTAATTGATAAGGACTAGAAGAGACAGGACTCTGAAATTCTACAAGTGGACCTGCTGCTATTTGTTTTATTAAGTATATTGAAAGGTAAATTTAAGGCCATTTGACTAGGTACAAACTCATCCTTTGGGGCAGAAACAGACGCAGAGTTTCATTTAGAAGCTACCGAGAGAGCATAACTGCTTATTTTAGAGGTTGATGTGGTTGACAGACAGGTTATTTAGTTGGACATAATTTTTATTCAATTCATGTACAAATCTGCATTTAAGACTTGGAAACTGAACCTAGACGAGCTGATCGGCCTTGCAGAAAACTTAAAACGCAGACATATGGACGTGAATGGACAACTTCTCTTCAGGATGAGACCTCCAGGGAGAAGAGCTGTCCAGAAAAGGCGGCTGACACCTCATGCTCTACCCAGTCCCTGACAGGATCTGCTCCGGCCCGCGGGGCAGTGGCAGGTACCAGGGGGCACTGGGTTCTTTCTTCTGAGGCTGTGTCCTGCTTTGGGCTAAACAGAACTAATTCTGGTCGGTGTTTTCTAGGACACTTTCCAGGTTAACAGCATGCTCTGTCAGGCAGTCTCTGCTACTGGCACTGAGAGTATTTGATGTGTACAGTTCCTACCAAGGTCTGGGACGCAGAAAGGCTCTGGCTGATATTTATTCCTATAGTGACCAAGGCCACTGCTGGCTCTGTGTGCCACGCTCGGGGGGCCGGGAAGTAGGAGGGGTCACAAGGAAGTAAAAGGTGGCACCTCCGGGGGGTAACAGACAGGCCAGGTGACCAACAAGAGTACTCCATTCCATGTACATCATATTCAGTGTAAAGCTGAGGGATCACAGGGATAAAGCCCTCTTCTGCAATGGCTGGTGTCCGAGGACTCCATCTGACCTCCTGCCTTTGATTCCATTCTACGAGCACCTGAATCCAGCTCCTGTGCCTGGTTCCTCTCTGCCGCTGCGCCCGGTGCCGCCCACTCTGCAGCACCACTGGGGATTGTATCAGGGAGGAAGTAAGGTTTGATACTGATTTTGTATAATATATGTATACAGTCGGGGTTTTTCATTATTGTTTTATTAGAGCTGTTTAGTTTTCTTTTTAAGTCTCTAAGTCGTTCTGCCTCATTCCACTTCCCTTCCCGCTTGGGGAGAGAGAGGGCTTAGAGAGCATCTGTCAGTGCTCACGGCCAGCCCAGCCTGAACCACTGACAGGTTGGGAGTCACCTGCACAGAGCCCCAGGAGCTGCCAGCTCTGGCAGGAGGCACTGGCGAAGCCTGGCCATTACCTGGGCAGCTGCAACAACCTCTCAGATACAAACAGTGGCCTGGGGAGCGCTGCAGCAAACAGAGCAGGCAGAGGGCGTGGGGCAGGGAGCGCTGGGCTCTGCCAGCTCCAGAAGTGAGTTCAGCTGGTGGTCATCACCCTCTCAGACGGAGCTGGCAGAAAGCTCTGTGCAGGGTAGAAAGGACGTGGTAATCCAGGCAGAGCTCCCAGGAGAGGATGCAGCCACCCAGCGCTTGGCTGCAGTGAGCACCAGGGCTATCCCTGGTGACAGGCAGCAGCAGCGGCAAGAGGTGCCGCAGGGTGACTGGGGTGAGGATCTGCTCACCCTCTTGGCAGAGCTGCAAGAGGAAGCGGAAAGGCTGAGGGGCATCTGGGAAAGCTCAGAAAGAATAAGCTGAAAAGATCAGGTTTGTGACCCCTGAGGAACCCCAACATACACAAGTCAATGGGATCTGATGAGATGCACCCCAGAGCCCCGAGGGAATGGGCTGATGTAGCGGCCAAGCCACTCTCCATGATATTTGGAAAGTCAGGGCAGTCAAGTGAAGTCCCTGGGGACAGGAAGAAGGGAAACATTGCACCCATTTTTAAAAAGGGTAGAAAGCACGACCCTGAGAACTACTGACCTCTCAGCTGCCCCTCTGTGACCAGGAACATCACGGAACAGATCCTCCCAGAAGCTCTGCTAAGACACGTGGAAGTGATCTGAGACAATCAGTGTGGCTTTACAGGGGCAAGGTGGCAAGTCCTGCCTGATGAACCCAGAGCCTTCCTACCATGCAGCGAGTGCATCAGTGAACAAAGGAAGAGCTATCGACGGCCTCTGTCTGGATCTCTGCAAGGTCTTTGTCACTGGCTCCCGCATCATCCTTTTCTGAAATTGGAGACAGGATTTGATGGGCGAACTGTTCATGGCTGAAGAACTGGTTGGATGGCCACATTCGGGGGGCAGTGGTCAATGGCTCAATTGTCCAGACAGAGACCAGTGACAAGTGGTGTCCCCCAGCGGTCTGTACTGGGACCAGTGCTGTCCAATATCTCCATCAATGACAGCCAGTAGGATCAAAGTATCCCCACAGGAATTTTTCAGATGACACCAAGCTGAGTGATGCAGTTCACAGCTGGAGGGAAAGGATGCCCTGCAGAGGGACCTTGACAGGCCTGAAAGGTGGGCAGGTAAAAGCCTCATGAAGTCCATCAAGGCCAAGTGTGAGGTTCTGGACCCACATCAGGGCAACCTCTGGTACCAACACAGGCTCAGGATAAGTGGACTGAAAGTTGCCCTGCAGAGAAGGACTTGGGGATACTGGTGGATGAAAAGACTACTTTGGACACGACAGGCTCAGCAAGTTTGCAGATGACATCAAGTTAGTGGTGCAGTTGACATGCCAGAGGGATGGAATGGGATGGGATGCCATCCAGAGAGACGTGGACAAGCTCAAGTGGATCGACATGAACCTCACAAGGTTCAACAAGGCCAAGTGCAAGGTCCCGCACCTGGGTCAGGAAAATCTTCATTATCAGTACAGGCTGGGGGATGAAGCAATAAAGAGCAGTCCTGTAGAAAAGGACTTGAGGACACTGGTGGACAAAAAGCTGGACATGAGCCGACAATGCAGACTCACAGCCCAGAGTGCTGGGCTGCATCAAGGCAGTGTGGGCAGCAGGGTGAGAGGGGTGACTCTGCCCCTCTGCTCTGCTCTGGTGAGACCCCCCTGCAGTGCCATGCCAAGCTGTGGAGCCCCCAACACAGGAAAGACACAGATCTGTTGGAGCGGGTCCAGAGGAGGATACAAAAATGATCAGAGGGTTGGAGCAGCTCTCCTAGGAGGACAGGCTGAGAGCATTGGGGTTGTTCAGCCTGGTGGAGAGAAGGCTCTGGGGACACTTTACTGTGGCCTTTAAATACTTAAAGGGGCCTATAAGAAAGACAAAGACAGACTTCTGAGCAAGGCTGGTAGTGATATGGCAAGGGGTAACGAATTTAAAGAGTGTAGATTCCAGCTAGATATCAGGAACATAACTTCTACAAGGAGGGTGGTGAAACACTGGAACAGGTTGCCAGGGAGGTGATAGAAGCCTCATCCCTGGAAATTAATTCAAGGTCAGGCTGAAGAGGGCTTTGAGCAACCTGATCTGGTTGAAGATGTCCCTGCTCACTGCAGGGGGTTGGACTAGATGGCCTTTAGAGGCCCCTTCCAATCCAAACCAGTCCACGGTTCTCAATATCTGCCCAATAAAACTCCACCTGTCCTGAGAATAGCTCATCATGGTAGGACCAATGGCTCTGGCTGTTTACAATAACTCCTTCCAGGATATCCAGTTACTTCCCAAATTCTCTGTGCAACTAAATACTACACTATCACAAAGAATTAGTTGATTTAACACGTGAATTTCTGTAGTACGGAGAGCATGTGATGCTGTATAAATGGCACCAAGCACTACTTAAATGAACACAGTTTCAGAACATCCAGAGATGATAATAAACTCAAATCTATGAAATAGACTTTCCCACAAGAAGAGAGTAAGTTGCTCCTGAGTGCAACTATTTCCATTTATACATTTAGAACAGGGAGAAAAAGAGAAATACCCAATTTAATCAAAAGCGTTCTCCATGCCATACTATCAAGGATTCTTATTCATAGTTTATGGAGAAAATATAACCCAGATCTTTTTGGCTTTTCATAAAAATGCAAGTATTTGACTTATATCCTCATAAAATTAAACGTAAATATCCAAGAAAAATTGTATTTTATAGGAATTCTATTATCAGGCAAACGAGTCTGTAACAATCATCTACAGAAATACAGATATCGGCCTGGAGTCATTCTTCTAAAAAGACATCTACAGCATTTTATAGAAAAAAAATCTTCCCGCCATTCTCATGCACATACATATATATAAGTGCATGTATGTATATATGCACACGCAACTGTAAAACACTTTAGTATACATCAGAAATGAAATTCATACTTGAGGAGAAAGCCTTCGTGACAACTATCCCCAATGTCATCATCGTTTAGCACTGTGTCACTTATCTGAAAGGCAAGTAAATACAAACAAAGGTCAGACAAACATCTGCAACACCTTCCAATTAATTGAGTTTTGTTTTTAATGATATCTGGCAACTGTTTAGGAATTATTTAAGGTAGGCTGCAAAAATGCCCCAAAAAGTGCAATTTTACAAAGACTCTGATTTCAGCCAAAGCATTCTGGGAATGAGAAAGTCCCTCAATTATTAAACATTTGCCACCAGTCAGAAGTCAGACTCCTCCCAGTGATTTTTTCCTATAACCTTGTCCAGAATGCTTTGAAATTTGTGCATGTGAGATCACTTGTGCTTCTTTAAACCATGCTGAAAGCCATTTACCTCCCTGTTCATTCTAATTTGCACCAAACAGCATTTCCACCCCATTCTTAAAAATGGTCTCACCCCGTACAGTCAAGTTTATGAAGTGCTGACCACAAAGTCACTGCCAATGCTGTATTTACTGAAACGACCATTGGGAGAACCTGGTGTGAAACAACTGAAGTGAACAAGAATTTGTGACAACTGTGGGGTTTTGTCTGTCAAAGGGGGCACTGAACCAGAGTGCCAAAGCCCCTTTTTTTATTCAGAATGCAAAGAACACATGGACTTACATCTATTTCTTCTGGAACGCTGTGTGATTTCATAGATGAAAGGAGTTCCATTACAGGAATTACTTCTCCTGTCAGCATGGGAATGATGCTCTGGCCCTGCACAACAAATAAAATGCATGAAGCAAAAGCACATTTTGCAGCATTAGAAGTCACTACAAACAGGAACTTGCAATATCACGTGCAAAGTATCTGTAACTTCCTATTGTTTGGAAGTGTGGTATGAGTGGAAATTGATGTGTTGATGTCTGGAGCTTTGTCTATTAATAATTATAAACAAGAAACACACATTTTGCTTCTCAGCATGTCTAAAATATATTTCTGGGCTCCTATACTAATTTTCATGATCAGTATGACTGGCCTAGAAAAGAAGTATTTGGAGTGATATAACCCGATTATACCACACTATGTGCAACTACTCTTGAGCATTCCAGATCCAAGTCTGATGTTGTAACAAAGGAAGGAAAACAAAATCAGGCATAGGAGTTATTAACACACAAAATTACTTACTTATCTATCACAAGAAACTACACCCACAATTTCATATTTACATTTTCAGAAACGAAATTCTTTACACAGTCTAGCCCACCAGGTTTCCAACCACATTCCACCACAACAGACTCCATGTGTCTCTGTGACTCGAAAAGGTGACAACCTAGTGAGAAACCATCCTTGGCAGGGGCTGAGCACGAATCTATGGAAGGTACTACCTTTACAGAGCTCCAAGTTCAAGTACACGACTTTCCTTTTCTGAAAGGTAATATTCTTCATAGATTTCCACTTTACCCATAAAAGGATGACACATAATTCCTTTCAACTTCTTCACAGCTTCCTATCTTCAGACACTTTGCCTCCTTTGCAGGGCAGGTCATCGGCCACTTCAAAGCATCTTCCTGGATCCCAAAAATTCAGCAGCACCGACTTCCACAGTCGCCAGACGCAGGTAAAGAGTCCTGTGACGGCAGTGTGGCCTACACATCAGTCAGATGGCCCTTACCTGATCCTCCACTCTCTCTGCGCCTTCCAAGACAATCTTCTGGAGATGTTCTTGCCTCTCCTGAGCAAGAGAAGCAGTGAAACGTCAACGCTCTGGCACCGGTTTACACACGTACGCACACAACAGTCAAAGGGAAGTTTCTTCCCTGTGGAGTCACGCTTCTGAGATTCAAATTGTGACGTTCAAGCCTTTTTTCGTTTTAGAGAGCTGACATCAGCGGGAAGCGATGTCATTTCAAACAGACCAACGCTCCCTGCTCTCGCCCCATCAAACCTCTCACGCGCCTGGGCAGGAGCAGCAGGAAAGGGAGGGTGTGATGGCAATGACAAAACATTCAGTTTCTTCATTACAGATCAGGAAAATGCCAAATGATCAGGTCATGGTGCATAATTCCTTTATGGATGGATTTTTATTTTCAAATGGACAACATACAGACTGATGGTTCTTGACGTAAAAAGAGAAAAATGAGAAATCCAGAATAAGAAAAATCACTTGTATGGGGAGGGTTGGAAAAACAGGACTTTTTTTTTTTCCTCTTTCTCCCGCGTCTTCAGACACTGAAAATTCTTCAAACATTGTTTTATGATCAAGTACAGGATATATGAAAACTCGAAATACACAAAATACAATGTACCAGAGACTGGACAAAGTTCTCAAAACAGACTCGTAAGCAGCAGAGGAGTAAACTGCATTTGAAATGCAACGTACAACAGAATCAAGTTGTTATCCACAAAGAGAATTCAGCATCCATTGCTGGAACAATCAGTACAATACACAAAAAAATGAAGATGCTGCAAGAATTAATGATATCTTTTGTGAGATGCTGACAGGTTTTTGCATTTTTATTGATGATTCATCAGCTTCCTGTGAATGAACTACTCAAAGCTGATCGAGTGGGAAAAGAGTTTAATATAACTTTTTTTGAGCAGATGAATAGGGAACACGCTACAGCCCTAAAACAGGAATAAAACTTGTCTAAGTATCTAAAAGAAGCATCTGTGGGGAAAAAAAATGGAATGAGGCGGATTCCTTCGGGGCACCTTCATTCCTGAATTTAGTGTCAGTGAAGTGAGACATCCTTGACAACGAGGGTCTTTGGCTTTACAAGAAGTCAGTCGTCATGAGGAAAAGGCTGAACAAATGGTGTAACACTTCCTTTAAACACTTCTTCGAAATTATTTTCTTTAGAACTATAACTGCTGAAAACCAAACACCTCAAATATAAAGCTGAAGCAAGAGGTTTCCAGTTCCACAGCGACGACTTGCTTGGAGCTGATTCTCTGCCTCTGACAAGCTCAGCACTGCTCTGTGTTTCTCCTTGTCCTTCAGCTCAGGCCTCTAAAATCTAGCAGGAGCTCCTGTCTGGCTCTACACAGAGCTCACGACAGCTGGAATTTCAGAACAGACACACAGCTTCTTTCAGATACAAGTTTGTGTTCTGTGGTAGCCACGGTTGCTGAACCACCTCAACAAGTAACCTACAGACCGAGTCTGTTTTAACTCAGTGTTACCATTCTGCAACTTGTGCCTAAATTCTCTTTCAAAGCAGTTTTTTCTCTTCCAGGCAACGCTGCAGAAATATGCAGGAATCTTTGATCTTCCTCCAAAAAAATAAATAGAAGACAATAAATGACTAATTCAGAAACTATCCCTGTCTTAACCAGCTCAGTTCTAATTTCTGAGAAAATCAGAAGAAAACATTTTCTTCACTTGAAGGCTATTTTAACCACGGAAACATATCAACATGGACCAATGTCGAAAAAGAGAGAAGACGTACTACAGTTAATAATGATGGAAAATTCTGACTTGACCACTTGCATTACAGGTTGGTGCAGAGGACACTAAATGACAGAGAAGCAAGGTCATTGAGAACACGAAACACCATTCGCTTATGTCAAAAGTGCAAACATCTAGCGTGCTTTTAGAGGATGAGGAATGAAACAGTTGTGTTTCTAATATATTGAAAACCAACTTTATATCCTATTCTCCCTCTGAAAAACAAATCCCAGAAGCATCATGGGTCCGTGTGATGGGAAACACTGCCAGCCACCACCAGGCCACACAACAAAAATCAACAGAGTCTGTGTAGCAAAAACGAAATGAACTCCATGGAAATTAACATCGGCTCATTATTTCTGGCATCTTAATTCTTTCAGATAAGAGCACTCAAAAGGAAGTTCACAGCGTGTCGACCAGAAGTCTCAAAACAGAAGAGGAACAAAAGACTTTTGTCAGACAAACACATACCAGCCACACATGTCACAGCTGACACGCAACCTGCTGCTCTAGGACAAGCTGCACCCCATGGAGAGGACAGAGATTTTAATTTTTATTATTAGAATACTATTTGTTTTAAATAAAAACACATACCAATTTTCACTTATTATGGAAACATGCATCATCTACCCAAAGTTAGGAGTTGCAATTCTTCAGAAAAATTTAGCATGCTTTCCTTTCTGAATTTCAAAAGTGTTAATATTTAGATGAAAGTGGAGGTATTTTTGTGGTTCTGCCACTAGTTTTACACAATTAAACACTTGCCAGACATTTCGTTGATATCCTTTTTTAAAAAAATAAAACTGTAACAACATTAATTGCATTTAGTTGCCTTTTCTGGACCTCAGCAGAGAAATCAGCTTCAATACACTAATTACTGCTGTTCATAGCAACAATTTATATCAAATTCGTAGAAATGAAAAATTGTACAGGATATGTACTTCACCTAGAGAGCCTACTGGAGGTTACATCACATTAACAGACAAACCACAGAACCAAAAAGCTCGAGTTTGCTGACACACTGATAGCTTTTAACCCCCCAAACTGTACAATGACAGAGAGGCCAGCCTCCTCTGAGTTCCTGTGTTGGGACTGCTACAGAGCAGGTGTCACAGAAGCTTAATTCTTGCTTTTGCTCAAGAGAACTTGGATGACTGCTTTTAGTAATTAGCAATAAACCTACCTTGTGCATCCATATTCTTCCCTTCCTTATGATGTGTGTCAGCCTGTCCACGCACACTCTGTGAAGCGGGAGGTAGAAGCCAAGTTCGCTTTGTGGCAGTATAATGGACAGTCCGTACGTGCTTCGGTCTCCGTTCCAGTTCCCATCAAAGATTAATGACACAATGATCACCCTTTTTTCTGCCAAGACGAAGAACTTCACATCTATGGCACCGCTTTCTGCGTTCCGAAGTATTTCTCCGTTCAGGGTGTGGTTAGCAAGAAAAGTGATTTCACCGTCACTGAGAAGCACCTGCTCCGTCTTTGGGGCCCAGATATGTCGCACTCGGGGGCCAAGAATGTTGTCCCAGTAAGCGAAAGTGGCAGCTAATAAAGGCGACTCGCCGTTCAAAGAGATCTCTGTTTTAGCAACTGCAGGAGACGGCGGTGGACAAAGAGCTGACATGCCTGCTTCCTCTCTTGTGCGGAACTTGAAATGCTTACATTACCTAAAAAAAAGTTAAAGCAGGGAAAACCCACAAAAATTAGACCAGCACTCATTACCATCTTGTTTCCAAATAGGGCAACCTAACTACTGCACCCAAGATTTCATTGTAGACTTCATTCAAGAAGGAAGCATGCTTGTGTACCTTCCACAAAACGAAACAGCACGCTTGAGAACCATGAGTCAGTCAGACCTCACACAGCCCTGACTCACTGCACAGGGATGGCGAGCCCGCACAACACCCAACTCGTGTCAGAAAACCATAAACACATCCTTTCCGCCCTGGTGACAAGCAGGGTGCGGCAATACGGGACAAATGCTCAGTGCTTTACAGAAGGTATTGGCGCAAAAACTCTCCACAGTGCACAGACCCAAATTAACAAACAGCTCCCCCAGCAGCTTCCGACAACTCCACGGCTTCCCCGTCCCGATGGGGCTGCAGAAGATCACAGCAAGTCTCACCTCCCCTAAAAGCTAAGCCGGAGTCACGTCAAGGAGAAAAGTCCTAGGAAAAAATTCAGCCCAGGGTGGGGACTCCAGAAGCTGAAGCACGTTTATGCAGAGGAAACCTCTCCGTGAGCAGAGCTCAGCTTCCCCTTTGTGCAGTTTTACCCCGGGG